CTATCCGTCAGTAAATGAATGTGACTCAGGGCTAACGATAAATCGTGGGAGTCCATTAGCAGAGGAAGTGCATTGATTTTAGCAAAATATTTTTGAAAGTGGGAATCAATCAAACTTTAATAACCAAAATCCTCGATTGTCAGAAAACTAGAACACGACTGATTTAACAAAGCACGTGGGGCACGGGTGACGTTATAGAAGAGCACGCGCAGATGTTCCACCACTAGCTGTGAAAAAATTGCGGAAACCTAGAGACGTAATATACTGTGACAACCAACGAGAATAGCGCAGTTTTCGTATGACTGTAAAAAAAGTYGGTGCCGCATGCGTGCCGTGGCTTTGGCATGACCGTATCCTCGCCGTGTTCGTGCCATGTCTCGGGCATTTGATATTGGATGGAGAGTAAATTTTCGTGCAATGTGATTGGCCTGGCGTATGCCTTGCCGTGTCACGTCCGTATTTGTGCCGTGCGCTTTTCACAGTCACGAGAAAACTGCTCTAGCATTTTTTTAGAAGGTCGTGTATGAGGTCAGCTTTACTAAGGGCTCGTATATTAGAGGTCAGTCCTTTTCCTACAGTAGGTGGTCGGATATCCTTTGTTTTACCACATTTGTGAATTTTCTCGCTTTCTGATTGGTCTAGAGCTGGGGGAGATAGGAGAACATACCAATGAATTACGTCAGCAAATCACGCGCGCGCTTGAAACCGTTTTTATTTCAAATCTTACCCTCGTTTTTGTAGTAAAATTGCTAATTTTCTGTGGTAAAAACCCAATTTCCTCCAGTTTTCCTTGGTACGTCCTCTTATTTACCACTTTTTTCGTCATCTAGCCATCAAAATATGTTGTGGACTTCCACGGGTACGCTTCGTGAGTACACAACATTTTGACGGCTAGATGACGAAAATCGTGGTAACTATTAAGAGAACATATCATGGAAAACTGGAGGAAATCGGTTAAATACGTTATCAAATTGGTCAGGCTGTGGTGTTCGTGTAAACAAGAGGTGCCCAACAGAGATTTTCGAGATTTATAAGACTGAATGCGATTATTTTCGATTAAAAATTTGATCAACGCTTACTGGAAGGCTGGTATTTTAACGGCGGTGAATTTAAAAGTTTTGATCATGAGGTTTTCATATTTGATGACAAACGCCGGTTAAATTGATCAACTCGCTGTGAATATCAAAAATGAATGAGTACAGTAGATGCCCAGAATCCAAAAAAAAAAAAAAAAAAAAACCGGAATTATAACTTTCATCTTTTTTTCTTTCTTTCTTTCATATTTTCTTCCCCTTAATTTTTTATAAACGAATTAAAAACCTCACCGCTTTCAGACATGCAGTTTTCCAATAAGAAATAAGATTTTAACAAAAAGAAAAAAGTAAAAATAAACTGAATTATTTTTCATTATTTCAACTCGTTTTGAATATGACATATTTCATATACATACGTTGTATTCATAATGAAAATCTTTATCTAAAAGTCCAAAAATAATTTCAAAAAACGTACCCGTCTAACGTACTTCTCTGTGTGCTCAGTGCAAGTCCTGCCTGGTGTTGACTCCGTGGTCTCCTCTCGTTTATACTTATTCCGAGACCCATACAAGCCCATTATATACATATACGTATTATGTTAGCTTTTTCGGTTTCACAGTATTCTGCCTGCTTTCTTCATTAACACTCAATTTATTTTTTTGCAGTTTTTAGCCTTAAGCAAAAAAATGTTTTGGCTTAAATGACTTGAACGCGCGCATCAAAGGGGGCAAAGCGGGCAGCTGGATATTCCATAAATGAAATTACCTAAACTGAATTGCTATTTCGAAATTTTATCCTACTAAATAAATTATTTATCCCTATTATTTATTATTAGTTGGGATATTAAGCTCACGTATCTGGTATAATATAGTTGTAATAGATTCAAAGCGGAAAGGTATTACACTGAAAAACTTTCTAAATACTATAGTGTGCATCTCGGTTGTTTTGCTGGCGCGGTTTCCTCTCTGGGGGTTTATTTTGAATGTTGTCTTTTGTCAGTCAAATAATGAACACGTGCGTGGACATGAATGAATCCGCGTCGGTTGATAAAGCGCTGAAAGCACTCTTGGTCCTGAGATAAATAATTGTGCAGACTTTCTTGTCTTTTAACAAAGCATGACAGCACTGCTTAATTCTTTAAATTGTTTGTCTCTTGATTTCCTTATGGTTGTTATATATTCCTCGCCTCTTTTTCCCTTCTTTTACTTTCTTTAAGTGCTTTCTTAAGAGTCTTTTCGTGTCTTGTAGTTGTGATTTGTCTTTGTCGCTCGCCGACGGGTTTAGATTGCTACAGAATTTACAGTCATAAACAATCAAATATTTCGAGGATTTTCGCAAAATCTACAATACAATAAACCAGGTATTTTTCTTCGCGTGTTTTCTAGAACTGTTTACGACTTTTACATCTGTGCCCCGAGAGTTTGATTTTTCAAACCTACTTAAAATAGTAAGATTTCAAGATTGGTTAAATGATATTCGAATTAAGAAAAACTGTTTTTAAACGATGTTTATGTTTCGAACATAATTTGCGCTGCTTGCCACAATTTGTCTCTCACCTCATTTGTTTTTATTATATTCTTATGAGTGCGCCCAAATTGTAAATCGTTTTTCTTATTTATCTTAAGTTAGGATCTTGATTCTATTGGAGCTTTGAAGAAGGTTAATTATAACGTCTCAGTTTTTTTTCTAAGTAGAGTTTGCTTGGTCTGTTCATTGCTTCGAAGGTTTTTCCCCGGGTTCTCCGGTTTTCCCACTCCGCAAAACCTAACAAGCTAAATTCCAATTAGATCTGTAAGATAGCCATGCCCTTACTTTGATCAGCCCARAGGTTGTTTAAGGGTTCGATATGTGAGTAAGCCATGCCCTGACTTAGATCAGCCCAGAGGTTGTTTCAGTGTTTGATCTGTGAGTTAGCCATGCCCTGACTTAGATCCGCGCAGAGGTTGTTTAAGGGTTCGATCTGTGAATTAGCCATGCCYTGACTTAGATCAGCCCAGAGGTTGTTTCAGGGTTCGATTTGTGAATTTGCCGTGCCTTGACTTAGATCAGCTCAGATGTTGTTTCAGGGTTCGATCTGTGAGTTATAGCCATGCCCTGACTTAGATCACTCCAGAGGTTGTCTGATTTTTATGTTAGCTGTTTGTTTTATATCGACCAACATCGCGGCATTTTTCTTTTTATGTCGTTCTCAATTTATGCCATAATATAACAAAGTTATTATACCAAAAATCTGAAATCTGATTTATCTGATTTTTTTAGTTTAAGAAAGCTTTAATAATGTTGTTAATCTTTTTAATGTTGTCTTCGCTATTTCTTTCTTTTTTTTCCTAAGTACTGTTTAAAAAACGAGCAGGAGTGTTTTATCGGGTGTAAAACACGAGGCGCAGCCGAGTGGTTTTAGACCCGATAAGACACGATCTGCGAGTTTATTAAACGGCTTAGAAAACATGATGTATGTTCTCATATTGTACAGAATACTTTGCGAAATGAACCAAGTGTGATAGAGAAAATCCAAGTTAAAGTTTATGCAAATGAAGACGAATCTATATCAGATATAAAGTCACCTTCATGGTCATGATTTCTATTGGGTTTCCTTCATGAATTATTAATGAGTTTTCTAATTTCTATATTAATTTGTATTAGTCATGTTATTGATCAGAATTAATTAGTGATACCATATCTCCCAGCGCCATTCAAAAATATCATAAAACAATTACGATATAACACTCGCTTCTATTGGTCAAAAATGATATATGAATAATGCGTGCTTCAACTAAAAACAATTAAAACAACAACAAAATAACTATTATATAACGTGCACCTCGATTGGTTAAAATATTAAATAATTACATCAGTTATGCGCGTTATGACTTGTCAAAAATGATTACGATAATGCCCGCTTTAAATAGTCAAAATATCTTGAAAATTTAAACAAGATGCCAGCTATAATGGTAGCCATGAAACCAAGCAGCAGAAGACTTAATAAAATATTCAATTAAAGACTAAGTTGAGATTTATATATTAAAGTTTAGTATTAGTTTTCGGTTAATAGAAGACACTCACACATATTCCATATTAAACAACATGCTTATTTAGAAGCACGTGTTTCGAGTAGCTATATGACTCTATTAGTGAAAACTAAATGACCCGAGGCGAGACGCGCGCTCTAGTTAATTGTCAATCAGATACGCACGCTTCAATAACTTAATAGATTGACTCGATCGGGCAGTAATAACTCATTAAACTGTGCCAAAATACAACACCAAACATTTATTTTATCAAGCGCTAAAACAACCTCTGGGCTGGCTAGCTACCTCATGTGCTGGATGACTATATTTCAAATAGCGTGCGCTATTTAAGATTCAGTGCATGACAGGATTACGTG